GATGAAGAAGAGCCTGGCTGGTCTATCAGCATATGTAGCCTTTGTGAAACACTTAGACTGGCAGAAGAAGTGACCAAAGGCTGAGCAGCAACAGGATCAAAGGAGGGAATAATTGCTGGGGTAATCTTGACAGGAACTAAATGGTCTCTTGTGAATTTATCCCACCAACGAATTAAGATACTTCGGACTAAGTTAGGAATATAGGTCCATTCTTCATCAATGTCTTCCGAGATAACATATTCCCATTTTAATATCCAAGGTAGTTCATACATTATCATGAACCACATGAACAAAGTCCTCTGATCAGGATGATTCTTATTCCATTTACAAAATTTCATTTGAAAAGGCTCCTTAATTTCAGGAGAAAGGTATTCCATAGTAGGACCCCAGATAAGGAAAAAGCTCTTAAACCAATTCGGGAGTTCTTTCAGAGCTCGAAGCTTAAATTGGATAAACCAAGTATGAGAATAGTTTTGATTTTGAAAACATGAGACATATTCCCATGCTTTTTTATAATCCCAGAAATTATATGAATATGGCCTAATTTCAGGATGGATAAATCTTTTAGCCCTTTCAGGGCTAGGACCCCATTCTTCCAAGGAAATAACTTTTAGAATTTGGATTTTGGAAAATGCTATCATGTTGGTATCTTCACCTCTATGATGATGAACTATATTAACAGATTTAGTTTCAATTAGGAGAGTTTCATAGAATATATATATATATAGTATTTTCATATTAGATTATGTGAGGGCCCCAGTTTAAGTTTCGGATAGGGCCTTCCAATTCTTAGGACCAGCCTTGATTTCAAGTCTTGCAACCTCTGTCCTGTAGGGACTTTGAGGATTAGTTATGTTGTAAATGTCGAACAAAGTAGGGCAAATATTCAGATAATGGTCATCTATGCTCATATTATTAATCTTCTCCAATATGGAGATATTTATACAAGTACAAAGATGTGTTAACCCTAAATAAAATAGAAAATATATCTAAATTACAATAGGAAATAAATCTCTATTACAATAGGATGAAATAATAATTGGTAAGTAACCAAAATTCTAACTAAATAAGGAACCAAAATCCTAACTAAGTAAGGACTCGGCAACACGCCCCATCAAGTTGGGGCAAAGATATTTCGCATGCCCAACTTGACAAGCGAGTCATAGAACACCATACTCGACATTGACCAATCGAACAACTGTAGAGAAGGCCTTGTCATAAATCCTGAGTGAAACAACTGACAAACCCTAACAAATAGGGCACATAAAAGAACACATAAAAGCAGAACACAGAAACCGTGTGAGCACGACAGTATGTAAGGTAGAACACAGAAACCCTATGAGCACAGCAGTAGGTAAGGCAGAACACAGAAACCCTATGAACACGGCAGTAGATAAGGCAAAACACAGAAAACCCTGTGAACACGACAGTAGGTAAGGCGAACACAGAAACCTTGTGAGCACGATAGTAGATAAGACAGAACACAGAAACCCTGTGAGCATGGTAGTAGGTAAGGCAGAAAACTGAAACCTTCTGAGCATGACAGTAGATAAGGCAAAACACAGAAACCCTATGAACACATCAGTAGATAAGGCAAAACATAGAAACCCTATGAGCACGACAGTAGGTAAGGTAAAACACAAAAACCTTATGAGTCTGACAGTAGATATGGCAGAACACAGAAACTTTGTGAGCACGACAGTAAGTAAGGCAGAACACAGAAACCTTGTGAGCACGGCAGTAGATAAGGCAGAACACAAAAACCTTGTGAGCACGGCAATAGATAAGGCAAAACACAAAAACCATGTGAGCACAGCAATAGGTAAGTATGAAACATATTCAACAAACTAGGTTCCATAGTGCACACCATCCAACTTTTCACGGTAGCATAATCAATTTTCCACTTTCCAAATTGTGGATTTTTGGAATCTAGGGCATTAGAGTCACAAGTTAGGTAACCCAATTTTTCTTGTGAAGTAGCATAGAGTTCGATCATCAAAGCCCAAATCGCATAGCAAGATCCATTCAATTTGAATCCCAAGAGTAGGTTTGTGGATAATTCAGTATGCACCACCTTATTGTATGAGAAGCTATAGATGAAGTAGAACCAGAAGCAAGTGAAGAAATAAAGGCATCAACATTAGGCATGGTGATGATGGCGGGGTGGCCGCAACTGCGATGGTGGCAAGGTAGACTGTGGTGGCTAGCTAGGATTATGGGCTAGGTGTATAGTGCATCGGAAATAGGTAGTGTTTAGGGTTAAGGTTTTTTTTCTGTTGTAGAGACGGATCAAAACACAGCAACATCATCAGTAATGACCATAACAACGGAAAGCGAAGCAAATAAAGGCAACATTAATGGCGTCAGCAGTGGCCACGGCAACGACCACAGAAACGGTAGCTGAAAACGATGACAAATTCTTCCATATCAACTTTAGCTAATTCATGCAAATGCAACTTCTCTTCAATCCTCCTCTCCCTTTGAAGAGAAGGGATTGTCGAAGTCAAGAAAGAGGTAATATCTCCATGCGAAAGAGAAACACATCATTTCACTCCCCCTACCCCCCTTGAAGAGGAAGGGAGGAGAGCACTTAAATTGCAAGGAGAACGCAAGCAAATGTCACAAGAGAACCTGGCTTTGATACCATGTCAAACAAAGTATGACAAATATTCAGATAATGCTCATCTATGCTCATATTATTATTCTTCTCCAATATGGAGGTATTTATACAAGTACAAAGATGTGTTAACCCTAAATAAAATATAAAATATATCTAAATTACAATAGGAAATAAATCTCTATTACAATAGGACTAAATAATAATTGGTAAGTAACCAAAATTCTAACTAAATAAGGAATCAAAATCTTAACCGTAGTCTAAAATATCAATAATATTGACAAAATATCGAGGATATTATCGTTTTTTTGGGTCAAGGATATTTCAGAACCTATCTATACACATATCGTATAAATATCAATAATATCAACAATAATATCGGAAAATATCGATGTCGATAATTTCGCTCACACTTCAGCAATATTTTGTCAAAATATCGGTACAACATTGAAAATATCAAAAATATCGATGTAATGGAAAAAAGGAAAAAACACAAAGCACACACGCAAAGGGGATTCGAACCATTGTCATTTCACTCTTCCAATCCCTTAACCACCATGTTGCTTATGTTTTTGTGATAATACGCAAAGGGGAACTCTATGTGACACTAAGTCACTCATGTATCATACCGTGCAATGCATAAAGTGTAAAATATTGTAGTAAATTATTATATATAAATGATTATGGTGTGTTTAATTTTCTTTCATTAATTACTACATATTTTTTACACTCACAGTGTTTGCTAGTTCGCTATATAATCAACTTAAATCAGTTAAACTCATCATGCAATGCATTTCCTTCCAATTTTTTGTGATAAACTAACAGATAATTGACTAAATAAACATCCTCCAAAGTTTCAATAAAAATTTCCAAGTTTTTCTTACAATTTCCGTGGTTTTTATTCAATTTTTATCGATATCGATAATATCCCAATATTTCCATCAAAATTTCTGTGTTTTTGAACTACCGATATTTCTGATACCATCGATATTTTAAACCTTGATCCTAACTAAGTAAGGACTCGCCAACAAATTCCTTTTCACATATCATATTTTCGTTGGTTTGTTCAATACTTGGGAGAGTTCAGATGATAGTAGAAATTTGCAGCCTCTGTCCTGTAGGGACTTTGAGGATTAGTTATGTTGTAAATGTATCTGCAGGTTATGAGACCATGAGAGGATTAGTTATGTTGTAGCATCTACGCTTTCTTTAAGCCCTTATTTGCTCTCACAATCAGTGTGCAACCGATATATATGGAAATAAGTCACTTTCTATTACAGTGGCTTCCCCCACCACCATGGCCTCTCCCTCTTTTTCATCCTCTTCCGCCAGTCTGAGCCCGCCATTTCAATCTTAAATCCCTCCATGATTACTTTGTTCCAAAGCCTAAACAACTCGATCAAAGTCAAAGTGAGAGAGATATCAATAGAAGGGAAAGAGGATCTCAAGAAGGAAGAAGGGGTTGAAGGGAAAGATGGCAGCATTACAATCGAAGTTTATTGAAATGACCACTAGTGCAACGCGGTACTGATCGGTTCATAATTGTATATCATTTTGTACCCTTCTAGCTTATGATTTGGTTATGTTTTTGAGTTAAACTTGTGCTTTTAATCCTTTTTGTGTTTATCTTTCAGCTTTAGG